ACTTGGTTGAGGAAACGCCCTTGAAAGTGAAGGGTGCCAAGTGGTAGTTTTTTTTTTGGCCAATGCAATATCATTGCTGACAGTGATGCTACAGGGACTGTCCGTGCATCACGCAGCGTGATTCTTTGCACCACGGCTTTTTTTTATTTCAACCAGCGTGGTATTTCTGGCTAGGAAAGATCCATGCTGTGGAGGGTCGCAGAAAGTGTGTTGCGTCCTGAAATGTCTGTTAAACACAGAATTTTGACGGGCTTGATGCTTCAGGGACTGTCCGTGCATCGAGCGAAAAAGCAAGGAAAATGGTGCTATCCGTGCCATCATGATAAGCATTCGTTTGCGTGCTTTTGTTATTCTTTGTTTACAGTTTCACCGTACAGAGAAAGTCGTGCAACTGAGGTCACAGAGCAGTGTGTTGCGTCCTCAAAAATGGGGCGATGCGACTTTCTTTCAAAGGATGTCATCGACAGCATCATGGCATTCCACTGCAGCATGGCACCACTTTTGTAGAAGTATGCATAAATCAATGATATAACGTCTGTTTTTGACAGCATCATGGTACCGAGCTTTCTTTGGCTATTCACGCATAGGTTTGCCAGTGATTTGTTGATGGAGTTGCATTTCCGGCTTACATGTCCTAGATTTGTCTTTTTTGCTTTTTGTTATTGCCCTGTCCCTCGTTCCCTGTCTTTCCGTGCAAGATGGAGCCGGCAGATGAACACGCGTCGCCGAACTTGGCGGAGACACAGCCCATGTCGGTAGAGATTTGTTTTCGTTTGAGCATCTGGCCTCTCCAGCAGCTGAGTGCCCTTCCGGAGTTTCATTTTCTAGTCGACATGGACCCACGGGATGCCAGTGTCGATCTCTTATACCAAGAGCATTTACTGCAGTGGATGACTGTGGTGGATTTACTGGGCGACTTGGTTGGTCGCATAGAAACGCATCATGGAGGACGTTGTGACAAAAGATACATTTGCATCGCAGCGGAAGGTCATCGCCGATTCGCGGCTCGTGAGAGTTTGACTATTCTTCGTGAGCTTGCGGATGAGAATTCTGTGGTCTCTCTTGTTGCTCGCTCTTCCAGCGTTGGTAAACAAATGCTGGCTCAATTCTGGCTTCCCAAGCTTGACGCAAAGCTGGCAGCTCCAGCGTTGGCCCGACTGGACTTGCATTGTTTCCAGGTGATTCTGGCTTGGATCTCACTTTGCGGGTGGTACAACCTATGCAGAGTGAATAGACAGTGGGGCCGCTGGCTTCGTGCAAACCCGACCTTTCGATCTGTGGTGTCGGATGCGCGTTGGGCCAAGGATCCCGAGTTGTTGTCCATCCAACGGGAGGTGCGAGCCAACGAGGAGTGATCTGTTAAACGCGGAATTTTTGACGGGCTCGATGCTACAGGGACTGTCCGTGCATCGAGCGAAATGCAATGAAAAGGATGTCTTCCGTGCCATCATGATAAGCATTCGTTTGCACGCTTTTGTTATCCTTTGTTTACAGTTTCACCGTACAGAAAAAGTCGTGCAACTAAGGAAGGTCATCCACTGCATCGCGGTACCGAGCTTATTTGGTGAATTCTATGAGATTTTCGATATGAAAACTCGTGAACATGTGAGATCATCGGCATATATCGGCATTATGGTAAGGAGCATGTTTTTTCCGTATATGCTCGTACAGCAGTTTCTGTTACGCATGCCATGGAGGAGGGCTGGAAACAGCAGTGGTTCTACAGCATCATGGCATCGAGTTTCGGCTTGCAACTCAGTGTCCGACTTGGAAGTAAGTACTCAGCTGGATCTTAGCGCACCTCTGGTTGAAGGCATCGTTGCATGCTGTAACCGTAGATTAAAACAATGATCTGTAGTTGTGTTTGCATTGTTGTCGTTCGCGTGGCTTGCGGATGAATGACCTGTAGTTGTGCATTGCGGATCTGTTAAATCGCTTGCGTCGTGTTCAAGGTAGGAAACGTTTGTTCGATCACAGTGGCAGCCATGACCACTAGCGCTCGTGAGTGGAGAGCGGCGCGCGAAGAAGATATCAGGAAGGCTTACGCCGACAAAGAATGTTGGACTGACCTTGACCGCATTACCTGTTGGCACCCTTACTGTTTCGGGTCCATAGAGGAGTGGCCATTGGACGCTGCCGTGATCTGCAAACCTACGGATCGAGCGTCGGTGCTGCTTGGCAGCATCAAAGCGGCCTGCAGCTTGGAAGACATTTGCCAGGCTCTGTCGGTGAAGGTCACCGTGGTGGTGACCATGTGCGCAAATGAAATGGAGATTCGAGGCGCCCCAAAGGATTGGGCGCAGTATTTCCAGCAAGAAAATGTCTATCACATCAAGTGTCATTTGGAAGACACGACATTGAAGCCGCCGCACCGTTGGGAGGAAAGAATCCCTGACTTGGTAGCTTCTTGTTGGAACAGTGGAAAATTGTTTGTGGCCAACTCTGGAAACAGTCCATGCTGGCAGTGACCAGGGGCGAATCCATGCACGTGCTCTTTCATTGCTTTGGAGGCATCAATCGAAGCGCTGGGGCTTTATGTGCTTGGCTCGTCGTGGGTTACAACTACCCTGCAGAGGATGCCGTCCAGTTGCTGCTTAAGAAAAGACCTTCCTTGCGCCCTTGGCACAATCGCCCCTATGTCTTGGAGGCTTTGTGGCAGCTGGAAGGTTTGCGGGCCGAGTGGCACATGGAACTGAGCGCGGCGTGCACAAATTGATTTGCACCACTGTTCGCCTGGAGAAACTGTTCGTGGCGAACGTGGTAGATCAGTAGCCAACTGTTGTTTGTCTGTAAAAATTGTTCGATCCTGTAGGGACATCGAAGAAATGGAGTGCAACAGGTGTTATCTATGCCATCATGCTATCGAACTTGTTTTTGTGGAATCATTCACTGCGTACACAAACGAATTTGCACCACTGTTCGCCTGAGGAAACTGTTCGTGGCGAACGTGTTACATGAGTAGCCAAGTGTTGCTTCTGTGTAAGTATTGTTCGATCCTGTAGTGACATCCGAGAAATGCAGTGAAACAGGGTGTCGTCCAGGCCATCATGATATCGAACTTGTTTTGTGCCCGGAATCATTCACTGCGTTCACTTGTTGTTTTTTGGATACCAATTTTTAAACATTTCCAATCCAAAGCTGTGTTTGCGCACCTTTGTTTGGAAGTGAGGTCATACACGGCATCATGGTACCGGGCTTATTTGCTATGTCAAACTCCGGAGTCGTGTTTTCAGTTTCGAATTGAAAGAGCAGATGCTTCGCATTGGAGTGTGTGTTATACATTTTTTGCCTCAGATGTAAACGCATGGACCAGATGCGTTTCGCTGAATAGATGTGACGTTTGTAGGTCAAGCTGTGGTGGAAATATCGAAACCTTGCGCTTTCAACTAATACTTCTGTAGCCTGCATTAACAGCATGTCGCGCCTGGCAGCCGATTGCTTTGCAGCTGCGGGGAGATTGCAATATACTTGTATTACATTCTGTTTTCAAATGAAGAAGCAAGAGATGATGCCAACCCATTATGGGTCTTGGTGTTGAAGGATACCCGGCGGCAGCGCCCACATCGTTGGACATGACAGCAGTTAACAACAAACAAAATTTTGGTGCACAAACGTGTCGCATAAAGTATTTGGGGATTTAAATGTGGTCTGCCATGGCAGCGAATGCGGAGGGAATCCGTGCAAGGGCGGATGTCTTTGATGAACAAATTCTACGACACGTTCTTTCATTTGTGCCTGGGAGCTCTGAATTGGCTCCAAAATATTCTTTGCAACCAGAAACCGGACACTATCTGGTAAAAGCTGGTTGGCCAGTTGTTTTGAAGAAAATGTGTCATTGGAAGGAGGCAGACACCACCATCTGTATTTGCTGCGGTGCCAACCAAGAACCCGGCGATCCAAACGAGTCAGACGATAGCTGGACATCTCAGCAAATCTCTGCTGGCTGGGCAAAGATCATGACCGTGACAATACCACACTTTCGTCATCATCATCTGAAATATAACAAAAAAACAGTCAGAAGCATAGAACATGTTTGGAGGACAATGGCAGCCGAGAGATGTTACATCTGCGGGCACTGCAACGACTGCGTTGTGAATCTCGAGTATGAGCATCCTGCTGACTGGCTGGAAGATCTTTCTGCGTTCACAGAGATGCTGGAACTTAGGTCGTGTCCGTGGAGGTGCCCAGATAAAGATCGACCGCAGTAGCCGGATTGCTGCAGTAGTAAAAGCGGCAAACATGCCACATCTGCAGCATCATGGTACCGACCTTTGCTTGGACGCAGCTTGTGGGAGCTGGAAGGCTTGCGTACCGAGTGGCACTGAGTGCAACTGGCGCAAATTAATCTGTAGCACTGTTCGTCTGGAGAGACTGTTCGTGACGAACATGCAAAACCAGTATGTTCGTCTGGAGAGACTGTTCGTGACGAACATGCAAAACCAGTAGCCAACTGTTGTTTGTCTGTAAAGTTTTTTTTCCATCCTGTAGGGACATCGGAGAAATGCAGTGAAACAGGTGTTATCCTTGCCATCATGCTATCGAACTTGCTATCATTCACAGCATTCTTGCACGGAGTTCTAGTTTCTTACGGAGCCTTTGTTTGTGTACTTTTGCATTTTGTAGCATTTCCATTGCGACTATGTTTGCCCACCTTTGTTTGCAACTAAGGTCATCCACGGCATCATGGTGCCGAGCTTCTTTTGTATCTCAAAGGTCTTTGTGTGGAAATGCGTCTGACCTCTCTCTCTCTCTTTATCTCTTCCCCCTCTTTCTCTCTGTGGTTGCAAGACACATGTCATCTGATGCCCTTTACCATATTCTCTTCTTGATCAATCTTACTTTTTTACATCATGTTTTTCCATAGCTCATATAAAATTCACCAATAAAATTCACCAACTATTCACCGACTATCTTTTACGACTACCATACTCAGAGCTGCTTGAAACACATCTTTTTCGCTCTCGGACCAACCGTCGTCTAGTTTGTTTTGTTTGGAAGCCATGACGTTTTGGTGCGCCTGTGCGGCTGCTAACCAGGAGATGGCAAGGGGAAGAAGAGGAAGAAACCGGTCAGTGAAAAAGAGAAAGAGCCCAGTTTCGGACCTCCTGGCGCCTTGGAGTTGTAGCCGCCCGGGACGAGGTCTGCTGCATCTTTTTACAAAGTTCATGAAGTTATTAGCTTGGTTTATTGTGCTAAGCTTTAGGTACATGGCACGTTTTACGTATCCTCAAATCGTGTCTAGGTGTGGGTTTGTTGTTGGGATGTTGTAGCCCACTATGGCTAGCAACAGGCCGACCCCAGACCTTGAACCTTTCAGTGCCGCAGCCATCAGCCTATCAACGCATCAAGCCATCCAAGGCTGCAATCTCTTCGTGTTTCATCTTCCGGACGATTGGACCGATGAGGATCTCTTGGAATATTTCGCGCCGCACGGGAATGTGGTGAGTGCCAAGGCGGGAGTGGCTCTGGGGCCGACATGCACCAATGGGGGCGATGTCATTGTGGGCCCGCCCATGAAGGTGGGGAGGATGGAAAAGGAAAATGATGGCTCCAACCAATAGACATGATAGCACTTGCCAAGGACAGGCATCGATTAAAAGAAGTGGAAGATCAATCAGCATTCGGCACGTATGGAGCCTCGCCGCGACTAGGGTTTGCCGGCTAGAGTCTAGAGTTAGCCCTGGTTTGTAAGTAACTGCAGGCTCATCAATTTACTTTCGTCCAGCTACCTTTCCATGACGGCGACATTCCCGGGATGCCCATGCACCATGTACGAGGGGTTTGGCCTAACCTTGAAACTTGCTTGATGCTGTTGGGGCTAACAAAACCAAACGCTCAACCCAACAAGGAACCCTTCTTCTTTACCACATTCTTAGGGACGCTGCATCAGCTAGCAGCTAGCTGCATAAAATTCCGCCCCCTCGGATAGAGTTTAAATTCCGGGCGTAGCTGAAAGGACTTTATTTCAAGCTTGGTGCTCTGTTTCTTAGGCTAACACCCGTATCATGTGCCAGTCCAGCACCAGGTGATGAAGGAGTTGGGAACAGGACGCTCCAGGGGCTTTGGCTTTGTCAGCTGCTTTGTCAAACATTGGGGCCCACCGACGGCCACCAACCATAGCACATGTCACACACACACACACACGTATATATTCTTATTTATTTACATACATGCATGTATGCATGCATACATACATACATATATTACATTACATTACATTTTTCGGTCGTGCCTGGGAAAGGGAACTGGAAAAAAAAACGGCATTTTCAATCACGCCCGGGGAAAAACACAGCATTTTCAATCATACCCGGGAAAGGGAAAGGGAACTGGAAAAACACAGCATTTCGTGCACGCTGAAGAAAGGGAATTGGAAAAACACAGCATTTCCAATCGTGCCTGGGAAAGGGAACTGGAAAAACACGGCATTTTCAATCATACCCGGGAAAGGGAACTGGAAAAACACGGCATTTTCAATCATACCCGGGAAAGGGAACTGGAAAAATACAGCATTTTCAATCATGCCCAGGAAAGGGAACTGGAAAAACACGGCATTTTCAACCACAGCCGGGAAAGGGAACTGGAAAAATACAGCATTTTCAATCATGCCCAGGAAAGGGAACTGGAAAAACACGGCATTTTTAACCACAGCCGGGAAAGGGAACTGGAAAAACACAGCATTTTCAATCACGCCCAAGAAAGGGAATTGGAAAAACACAGCGATTGCAATCATGCCTAAGAAAGGGAGTTGGAAAAGCACAGCAGTTGCAATCACGCCTAAGGAAAGGAAATGGAAGAAGGCCGGAACTGAACCAGCAAAGCGCGCGTAAAGACAAAGTATCACGGAACAGAAAAAAAACAAACTAGGAAAAGTTAACCTTCACATACTTTGCGCCCCTGCTGACCACCGCTCCCCGTACCGTAGATGGACGGATTATTCAAACCCTTGTAAGCCAATAACCCCCCGCACCCCCAATTACAATGTTGCTTTTTTGGTTTGGTCCGCTCCTTCGAATGGACGAAATAAATCAAACCCTAAGATCAGGAACAAAGATAGGGAACCATAACGTTGAAATTTGGGGGGACAGGGGGCAGCCTACAACTCATGGATGTGGGGCTTGAATAATTTGTCCATCTACTGTATGTACATTTATAAGGGTATGGTTCCATTACCAAAATAACCCCGAAAGACCCTTACAATTACCATTAAATAACTCAACAATTACCTGTTACGCAACTTTTCAAGCAAATCTGAACATTATCTGATTCAAAATGCAACCTTGCTCAGGAAATCAATGCCCTGACCTAACATACATGTTCTTCAAGTCACTTCCAAGACGCTCTTGATACGTTGTAACATCTTCTTCTGATATGTTGTAACATCTTTTTGAAGTAACTCCCAAGACGCTCTTGATACGTTGCAACATCTTTTTCAAGTAGCTTGCAAGACGTTCTTTGATATTTGTAACATCTTCTTCAAGTAATTTCCAAGACGTTCCTGATACAAACTTTTGCGATCGAATTGGGGCCTCAGGATCTAGATCATGGATCAGTTAGGAAAGCTTTGTAAAAACACAACAACAAAGTTGGACCATGGCATCTCGCATGAAGATGAAAAAACTGAGGATTTGCCACTTTCAAAAACACTGAAAGCGCAGCGCTTCTACAGGCGCCGTAACCACGTTTTCAACAGTTTGGCTTCGAGACGTGCTTCGCGCCACAGTCGCATGCACTTTTTTCAACATCTCAACTTCCAAAAGTCGTCCGAACGTGGTGCGCTTTTCGCATTTTAGTTCCGAGCACGCTTCAAGCCACAGGCGCGTCCACTTTTTTGTGTTTAACATTTTGTCGTCCAAACGCGCTTCGCGCCACAGTCGTGCGCACTTTTGCCCACACATCAACTTTCAGAAGCGCTCCGACTTTGAGGTGCTTTTGGCATTGTGGCTTGGACATGCGCTTACGCACCACAGCGGCCTTCAATTTTTGATTTCTCATCCGGCCAAACGGCTCCGCACCCGCCGCTTTAGCGAGCCTACTTTTCAACCCCCCGGAGCCCCAAAACATTTGAAGAACACGGTGCTTCGCGATTTTTTCCACCTTTTCGCCGACTTGCATCTTCTTTCTACTGACTCTTTCTTCTCTGACTCTCTCTTCTTTGGCCCTTTCTCTTCTGACTCTTTCTCTTCTGATTCTTTTTCTTCTGTCCCTTTCTCTCCTCTGACTGTCCTCGCACTTGCTGCTGCATCTGCCCATAAATCAGAAGTTTGACTTCTAAACTTCCTTCGACAAGTAAGATCACAGTGGACATTGACAGCATAAGTCAAAAGCGTTAAGTACTAATATATGTAAATGCGACTGCAAGCTACGGCCCGTGACTGCAGGGGATGGCGTCCACGTGCATCACACCAGGTGTACATCAGCTCCGCATCCAGAACCAATATCCTCACCATGCACTACCAGCATCGTTAGCGGAGAAGGCGTCTCCGCTCCCTGGCGGTATATGGTTATTTCTTTACCCCAAAAATAGACGAAGGAGCAGGGCGCGCAAAGCAAGACGAGAGGTTTTACTACAGGTCACCCCCAGCTGCGACTTAAATGCGCCCAGGGGCGCGACTATACATATAAAAATATCTGCAGGTACAGGAAACCGGCCACCTTTCCCTTCCCACTCATGCCCACAGCTTCATTGCGCATGGTAGGACATGAGTGCCACACGCCCCTGCTATAATAAGAAGTTTTACATCTATTCAGATGGTACACACACACATTTGAAAGACCGTATGTCGCATGGAGTCGAAATCCCAGAGAGGCCTTGCGCCGCGTGACTGAGTTACTGGTCAGAAAATTGGATTGTATGACATATATAATTCATGTTTGGGGTTCTCGGCCTGGCCCCTTGCCATACCGGAAAATCAAGACCAAAATGGAAAAGAATTGCAGGTACGTCACTGAGCGTCTCCAGTGATATCAGTGTCTCATGCAACCCTCTTCGTTGGGCTGGTACTTGCATGGACAACCAGCCCCCCTGCTACTGTGAAACACGTTCGGAAGGTATCAACTATTTCAAACAACCCTTAGAAACAGGGTGTGACCCCACACACACACACACACAAAAAAAAAAAAATATCACACACCTCGCAGTTACACGCAACGTTGTCATGCACAGCATTGACGTGCAACTGTTTCCCCACCTACCTGTTTTGCTTCACCTGTGTGGCGTTTCCTGGAAAAGTTGTTATGTGGGATCTTCCGGCCCTTTTTTTTGTTTCTGTCAAGCTTTTTTGAGCAACCCCAAGACACAGCCATCAGCGGATCAATTGCAGGGGATTGCCAATGTTTGGTTATGTTCGAAAGTCCTTTGGTATTTGGGAAAGCTCTGACGGCAAATTTGCCGAAGCCTTGCCTACAGTTTCAACCGAAATCTTGCCGGTTGATGTCAGCCAAAGGCTCACTTCATGTTTTTTGAAGGCTTTGGGTCAAGCCATGTGGCTCAGGCCAGCTATGGGTTCAACCGGCCATCCCCACTATAAACCCGCATTGCCCCATATTTCCCAGGTTTACCCGAACAGACCAGCACAAGCTAAGGAATCAATCAGGTGCGCGATTGCCAACCACATTTGAGGTCCCATACAAAAGCGTCCGACTAAACTATCCCAAATTAATGCTTTACTCTTCAGAGATCTCCCATCCCCAGGCACCCGTCACATCTTAAGGTTATGAGGATCGCGTCAGCGCAGCCACGGCCATCAAAAAGATGCAGGGCTTCAAGATCTTAGGGAAACTTGGCAGAAGCTGCTGGCCATGTGCGGCTTGCTGGGCGATGGCAGGAGGATTTCATGCACACACACACACGCACAACTTGGGTCATCCAGCGACTTCACTCATAAACGCATCATCTTCGGCATGAACCTGGAGCCGCCACTGTTGTATATGCGATATACATATATCTCTCCTCCAGTGTCGATAAGAGCGCATGACCAGTACATGTGCCATGGTCGCAAGTTGGATGAGATACCCATATTTGGGGCTGGTCATGAACCCGATTTTTTGAACTTATTCACGCATTGCAAGGAACCCCAAACATGATTTGACCATGTCACACACGGCTTTGGGTCAACAAATGACACCGTAAGAAATGGCAGGCAAACATTGCCATTGGTCTCGGATGGCGCTGCAGGAAACGTTTGAAGGTGGAGTTCAAAAAAGGAGAAGGCCGCAGCTATGGGATGATGGAAGCCTGTGGTCTTAACATCAAACTACCTGGTCGTTTTGGGTGGGCGCCCCCTTTGTGAAGTCCCACAAGTCCCACACCCAGTAGTCAATCATCGGGTGCTGCATTGCAATTCCTTTTTGCAGGTATGCCCCGCTCTTGAAGCAGATACGTATGGACCTGTTCATCAGGAAGTGTGGCTATGTGGGCCGAACCTTACCACCATTCTTTGGGCACATGCACGAGAGTCCACGCCATTGCCTTTGATCATCATAAGGAAGGGCCCCGCTTACAGTGGCTGAGGGCTTCTTCTTTGAACATTTTGGCATCAGCACAGGTAAAAACTGTTGATCGTCCATGTTGGCCATCCATTTTTCCCGCCAAACTTGCAAGACTATGTGAACTATTCCGGCGCCTACCCTAACATGACTGCCCGCCCATTTTCACTGATGCTTGAATATTCTTATGACCAGCATACCCCGGCTACACTGCCTAAGCAGAGAGCATGTGCGGATCATCTTCAGAAGTTGCGCTATGGCCGCCACTTGCCAGGTGACAATGGGAAGGATGATAAATTGGACTTCGAGGCTCGGGCAGCAGGTTGTTTGCTCGAGGATCATAACACACATCGCGTTTGCCTTATTGGTTTTCAATGCTGCTTATCCCCGGTTACACCACCTAGATTTCATTTGGAACCCAACAAGCGCCGGATGACCATGTAGGCTTGCTGGTGAGCCCCCCTTGTTCCCAGAATGGACAAATCCAGCAGGGAAGTTCACAGGCCCTGGAGTAATCCATTGTTATCCCATATTTCTTGAGGGTAGATGAATGCCGCGCGTATGTCTGCATGCATTCTTTTTTCTTTGCTTGCACGCTAGGCTTCTTAGCGCAGTGGTGAATAGTTGTTTACGCGTGGACCTTTACACAGTTGGATTCGTTAATGGGATGACCCACAAGAAGCTAGTATATACACGGACGCCTCAAAACATGGAAATGTAGTTGAAGGATGGTATGGGCGACGCTTCTCTCGTAAAGAGCAGGTGTCAGGCGTCCAACTTTCTAAGCCATTTCATAGATGCGAAAGGCCAGGCTTATTAGCGCACAGCTTGGGGGGCGGTATACATACCAATGCCTATTTCGAATCCTTTCGCAAGCTGAAAGGCCTAAGAAAATCCAGAGTTCGCCCAGGTTTTGCTACCCGTGACCGCGCCAGGAGAAAGGGAGTGGCGACGATGAACGGCTCATCGGCTACCTGCGTGCCATCAGCGCCAAGTCAGTGGTGCAGTCTCTGAAGGAATCGGAGAAGGAGGACTGGGAGCTGAGGATCAGAAATTGCCATGCGCTTGCCCCCGAGAAACTGGGCCGATAGATGTGATACGTATCAGTGATGCCAGCAAAAAATCCACAGATACAATTGATATATGGGAGGGAGCTGTCAGGATACGGCTGCATACATCTTCCGGGAAAAACAGGGGCCAATGAGCTGCTAAGAGTTGACCAACCATATGGGCGCAAATGAATTGGACGCTTCTCGCTAGAAAAATTAAAACTAAGGGGCTGCCGCCCCCTGCCGCCGACCCCAGAGGAAAGAATCAGGGAATGTTTCACGCACTTTTCACGCTATCTTCATGCACTTGTCACACTTCAAAAGGGATCAAGCAGATTTCAAATCAAAACAATGGTCTAGAAAAGAATGCTTCAGATTTTGCCTCTGCAGCTGGATCTGACTTCTTGTCAGATTCGCCTTTTTAGTTATTGGTGTTGAAAAAACAAACATGGCTTCGGCCGGCGGCTGCCTCTGTCTAACGTCGCTCTCTCGCCTTCTCAACCGACAAGAAACTAGCTCCAAATTCCAGCCTTCAAGCATCCCAAACGTTGGCTTCGCCACACCGAATCACTATGTCACTGAGGGACGGACCTGCTGCCTAACTAGCTCAAAATTGCAGCTTTCGCGCGTCCAAAATGCTGGCTTCGCCACCGCCACACCGAAACACCATGCCACTGAGGGCCGGAGCAGGCCCTGGGCCTGCGGCTGTCCAAATTGCAGCCTTCAAGTGTGCACTGCTGGATTCACCGCACCGAAACACCATGTCACTGAAGGCCTTCGGCCTGCGGCTGCCTCTGCCTAACGTCGCTTTCTCAACCGACAAGAAACTAGCTCCAAATTCGAGCCTTCAAGCGTCCCAAGCGTTGGCTTCGCCACACCCAAACATCATGTCACTGAGGGACGGACCAGGCCTTCGGCCTGCGGCTGCCTCTGCCTAACGTCGCTTTCTGAACCGACAAGAAACCATAGCTCCAAATTGCAGTTTTCAAGCGACCAAAACGTTGGCTTCGCCACACCGAAACACCATGCCACTGAGGGACGGACCCGGCCTTCGGCCTACCGACACACAATGCCACTGAGGGGTGGACGCCTGCGGCTGCCTGTTCCTAACCTCGCTTTCTTTAACGACCAAAAACTAGCTCCAAATTTTGGACCCTTCCAGCGGACCAAGCCCAAATTGCAGCCTTCAAGCGTCCAAAACGTTGGCTTCACCACACCGAAACACCGTGATACGCTTCACCACACCGAAACACCGTGATACCATGCCACGGAAGGGCGGACCAGGTCTTCCGCCTGGGGCTGCTGTGCCTAGCGTCGCTTTCTGAACCAACAAAAAACAAGCTCCAAATTTTAGACCCTTCCAGCCTCCAAAACGCTGCCTTCGCCACACCGAAGCACCATGTCACGGAAGCTTTTTGAACCGCTTGCCTCTTGCTTGTCTTGCCCAACCGTGTGTTCCCTCTTTTTTTTGCGCAGCGTGCCTGCAAACATTTTCACCTTGCGCAAACATTCTCAGTCTGCAAATCTGCAAATAACTCGCGTTCTTCGTTTCCATTGAAACGTGTTCTTTGTCTTTCCTTGTCTCTATTGTAATCGCTTTTCGTCTTGCCTCTTGCTTCTTCTCGCTCTGTCTTGGTGTTCTTCCTCTTTTTGCGCATCGTGCCTGCAAATATTCTCATTCTGCAAAACCGCAAATAACGCTCATTCTTATTCTCCACTGAAACATGTGCTTGCTTGCACCTTTCCTCATTCTTCCCCTGCATTGAAACTCTCCATGCGGCATTGCTTCTCGAGCGCGCTCCCCCTGGTTCCCTGGGGTCGGCGGATTCCTCTTGAAACGTGCTTCAAAATCGTCGTTGTTTTTTTGGCGGCGAGATCCGGTTTTGGAGCTGCAATTTCTGATGCTGCTGCGCGTAGTTCTGCTGCGCTTAGTTCTGCTGCGCTTTGCAACTCAGGCTCTGCAGTGGAATGGCTGCGTCAAGGTTCCTTAGCTGCTGCGTGATTTGGCCGCAACTTCTTCCCCATTTTGGCGCATCCTGTGTAGCAGAGTCGCTATGTGAAAACTTCTCTGTGTAAAAGCTTGCTGTGTGTAAAAGCTTCCCTGTGTGAGTGCATGTGTTCTGAGCAAAAGTTTCTGTGTGCAAAAGCTTCTATGTGTAAAAGCTTGTTTTGTGTAAAAGCGTCTCTGTGAAAGAGCAGCTGTGTCTAACAGCTTCTCTGTGTAATAGCTTGCTGTGTGTAAAAAGCTTCTCTGTGCAAAAGCTCTCTCTGTGTAAAAGCGTCTCTGTGAAAGAGCTTCTGTGTCTAACAGCTTCTCTGTGTAATAGCTTGCTGTGTGTAAAAAGCTTCTCTGTGCAAAAGCTCTCTCTGTGTAAAAGCGTCTCTGTGAAAGAGCTTCTGTGTCTAACAGCTTCTCTGTGTAATAGCTTGCTGTGTGTAAAAAGCTTCTCTGTGCAAAAGCTTTCTCTGTGTAAAAGCGTCTCTGTGTAAGAGCTTCTGTGTGTAAAAGCTTTTCTGTGAAAAAGCTTGCTCTGTGTAAAGGCTTCTCTGTGTAAGATCTTGCTGTGTGTAAAACTTCTGTGTCAAAGCTTGCTGTGTGTAAAAGCTTCCCTGTGTGAGTGCATGTGCTCTGTGAAAAAGTTTCTGTGTGTAAAAAGCTTCTCTGTGCAAAAGCTTTCTCTGTGTAAAAGAGTCTCTGTAAAAGAGCTTCTGTGTCTAACAGCTTCTCTGTGTAATAGCTTGCTGTGTGTAAAAGCCTCCCTATTTGAGTGCATGTGGTCTGTGCAAAAGCTTCTATGTATAAAAGCTTGCTTTGTGTAAAAGCGTCTCTGTGAAAGAGCAGCTGTGTCTAACAGCTTCTCTGTGTAAGAGCTTGCTGTGTGTAAAAAGCTTCTCTGTGCAAAAGCTCTCTCTGTGTCAAAGCGTCTCTGTGAAAGAGCTTCTGTGTCTAACAGCTTCTCTGTGTAATAGCTTGCTGTGTGTAAAAAGCTTCTCTGTGCAAAAGCTTTCTCTGTGTAAAAGCGTCTCTGTGTAAGAGCTTCTGTGTGTAAAAGCTTTTCTGTGAAAAAGCTTGCTCTGTGTAAAGGCTTCTCTGTGTAAGATCTTGCTGTGTGTAAAACTTCTGTGTAAAAGCGTGCTGTTTGTAAAAAGCTTCTCTGCGCAAAGGCTTTTTCCATGTAAAACGTTCTGGTTCTTTCGGTCCTATAGTATGACGTTTCTTGCTTTTGGAAATTTCCGCAGCATGCTTCGCGCGGGCTTTACTTGTATCATGGGCGTTTTTTTGGCGGTGAGGAAACAGGGGGTTCAGACCATTCAACTGGATGGATACGGAGGGGTGTATGTGGAGGCTCATGAACCACCATAGGCTTGAGCTCACTACCGAAAAGGATGATATAGGGGTTGTCTGAGAATGGGGCCCCCCAAATTGCTACTTCTTCTGGGGGTAAGCATGGTCAGCTATTGGATGACGGATTCCCCTTTGTTTACCCACGGTTCTTACGGTAAATGTTAAGGCCTGGTGTTCATTCAAGATGGCCTCATGCATGTTCGTTTTTTGGTTGACCTTTACTGCACAAAAGAGTTCCGCGATCTTCCGTTTTCGACGAAAGTCTCGGGCGAAACGGTGGCTCAGAGACCTGTCTTCCGAAGGTCTACTTTTACCGGCGCGCCGTGCTCCTTCTTTGTCCACTGCCCATTTTTCGTGGCGGTGGAACGCTGTTTCTTGTGACAGGTGCAGGACTTCGGACACTTTTTCACCTGCGCGACAGGCGCTGCATTTTCTGCACGTTGCTCAAACATTGGCAGGCGTGGGTCCAAATGAGAGGCGGTTTCGAAGCGCAGTGTTTGGTGAACTTGGACGACTTTTGACAGGCTTGAGAGTCTCGTTCTGTGAAATGGTCGTCGTTATTGATTTGGCGCTTGTTCATGGTCTTGCGCGACAGGCACACTACTTCGAACGCTTCGGTTCATTTTTTGTGGTAGGCGCAGTACTTCAGAGACCTCGACAAAAAACCGAGGTTGAAGCCTGGCTAAACACCTCGTTTTTCATTTTCAATGTTCATTCTTCGTGGCGCACGCTGTATTTGGTGAAAATGAAACATGTGCTGTACAAGCTCTCTACAGAGATCTTGCCAAGGGACTTCTTGTAGAGATCCTGCACAGGGACCTAGAGATTGTCTTGTACAGAGATCTCGTGAAGAGGTCTTTCACGGCGACTTTGCCCAAAGATCTTGTATAAAGATGTCTTGCAGCATCTTGCCAAGAGACCTCTTCCAGAGATCTTGTACAGCAACCTTGCAAAGAGATCTCTTGCAAAGATCTTGCCAAGAAGTCTCTTACAGAGATCTTGCCGCGAGATCTTCTAGTGAGACCATGTAAAGAGATCTCTTGCGGGGGGTCTATTGCATGGCATAGATCTTGCCAAGAGAGACCTTGTAAAGAGCGTGCACACAGATCTCTTGCACAGAAATCTCATTCACACAGAGATCTTGCATGGAGATTTCTGATAGGGCCCTTGTACACAGATCTTGTTTAGGGACTTCTTGTAGGGAGCTTGCACAGAGACCTTGCGCACGGAACAGAAATCTTGCTAAGAGATCTCCTTTAGAGAGTTTGTACAGCGAGCTTGCCAAGAGATCTTTGATAGGGTTCTTTTACACAGATCTTGTATAGAGATCCAGTAGAGGGCCCCTACAGAAGCTCTTACAGGGATCTTGCCAAGAGATCTCTTGCAGAGACATTACGGAGAGATCTCTTTTAGGGATTTCTTACCGAGACCTTGCATGGATCTCTTTTTAGATAGCTTGAACAGACCTTGCTTGGAGATCACTGACAGAGACTCGCCACAAAGATCTCGACGAAGGGAACCTACACAGGATCTCGTGCGCAGGACCTTCTACAGATACCCTTACCCAGGGATCTTGCACAGCAGCTTTTGCAGAGATGCTGTCAAGGAGATCTTGCACATGATCTTTTACTCTTCACCAAGGAAACTTGCGGAAACTAACCTGGCATCTCTTCTTCGCGTTCCTTGCAACACTGTTTGTGGTCTCTTACCGGGACAAAATCGCAAGTCTGCATTTGCTGACAAGAATCGGGGTATGTCCACAACGCACGGGTAGGCACCGGGGAGAGCTTGGAATTATACAGCAAGATGTGCATCCAACTGCCGAAAATATATGCAAGCAGCCACGAAAATGCAGGGCTATAGCCCATAGCGTTGACGGTAGCTACCAGATCTGTTGATGAAAAATTGGCCTGCTGGCATGAGGTACTTCTCAATGGATTTTGCAGTGACGTGCGCCACCCACCATTGGCGATTATACCCCTATTATCCGCAGTTGCCCCTTTTCCTTGCCCCTTTTCTTTGCCCCTTTTATCGCGGCCCCCACGGGGTATAACTCCCGAGATTTCTGGTATTCTAGTAGAGCAACATCATTGAACCACACATCTTCGATGCCAGCGTCATGTAGCCAACCGGGCTCCTTTTCATCAGCACTTCCAACATCTGGGATGCCATGACTTAAGGCTATTATTATCTAAAGCGCCATTCCAATGCTTCAGAACTTCACATGAAGGAAGCGATAGGCCACAGAATTTGGCACACAAGATTGCACATGAAAAGCCATGTCTTTGCACGTTCCGACTTTCCCAGAAAAAAACCCGGCATGCCGCGTTTTTGACCAGGACAAACTCTTTTCGGCAGATGACCCCGAGCCTGCGCTGATGACCGATGATTGACTTAGGCTATCGGGCCACCCTCCAAAGATGGCACCTACTACAGAAGGGGCCCTTATTAACTATAAAGATATATCTGACAAAAACATAGCTATGCTTGATACACCTGTGTTTAAACCAACTCCAGCACAAACAACTTTGATTCAAGCCGGCTCATTCTTTGCAGATGCCGAAAAAATTAATATGGCCCATGCGCGACATGAACAGTCAAGTCTTGTTTCACCCAAGCCGTGTACACTGAAAAGCCAATCCCGGATTAAGATACAGCGGTGTGTTTTCAAAGGGGGGCGCCGTGGTCAAGCAAAGTTGCAATAGTTTCTCATATCAGGACATCCCCCAGCTATGAGCTATGAATCGAAATTGACCTTAAATTCGGTTGAGTTATGAGTTACGATAGGATACAGCGGCTGAAATCGAAATTGAATTCGGTTGCTGATTTCTGGACGCCACTTTTCTCCAATGGCAGCTTCATCAACTTGGCTTTCAGAATCCGGGGTTGGCACCTACAGATTTTACAACCTGCCTGACACGGGCGCGCCGGCGCCCCAACCTCTTTCGGCAGGCGATCATTCAGCCACGGGCTGAAGGAAAAAGTTGTTGCTGGGGCCGTTCACCAAGATAGGATGCTTTACCACGAACACGTTCAGCAGGGTGCTTGGCCACTAACACGTTCAGCACGTTTGGAATAAGTGGTGCTTGGGCCTTTGATTTCTTGCGGGGCAATAGACCTTGTTCTGGGATGGCCCTTTGGGATTAGGACTGCCCAAGTTTCTCCCAAAGCCACAGTCCTGCCCGCTTTTGATGTTGGGTTCTCTTACCGCGGTGGCTTCGGATTCCGCCGGTTTCTACTCCTATATTTTTTGATTGAGGTTTCCTGCAAGGGTTCGCGGTTCTCGCGGCGTCAAGAATTTCACCACATGTTCAGAGAGACGAACCTAAACATCTTTGGTTTCCAGGGAAACATTTTCAAAGGGATTTGGAAGTGGGCAGAGAACTAACTGCACCAATGCCTGATTTGCTATCAAACAAATTCCCATGGAGCAATGCCTCATCTTGTCAGTTTGGTCTCCGGGCGGCTTGAACAGAATTTCTCCATTTCTAGCCTTCTATTTCTTTACTGGTGCACCCATACCATCGGGGCCCACGTCTATACACATAATTACGCAGTTGGTGATTGAACCTCTTTTTTGGCGACCTTCAAAGCACTGGTTTCAATGAACCAATGAATCGACGATTCAGTGAATCAATGAATCAAGGAGTCAAGGAATCGGGAATTCAGTGAACCCATTAATCAATGAATCAGAATCAGTGAATCAATGAATCAAGGAGCCAAGGAATCGAGAATTCAGTGAACCAATGAACCACTGAATCAGAATCGGTGAAACAATGAACCAATGAATGAGTGCGTTTGCGCATCCGAGAACCCATGAATCAGTGAACCAATGATTCAATGCATCAATGAACCAATGAATGAGTGAACTAGTGCGTCTATGACTCATTGAATCAGTGAACCAGTGATTCAATGCATCAATGAATCAGTGAATGAGTGAAGTAGCGCATCGATAAATAGCTGAATCAGTGAATCAATGAACCGATGGCTCACTGAACCAATGAATCAATGATTCATGGAATCAATGAATCAATGCATTTGTGAATTAGTGGGTAAATCAGTCAATGAATCAATGAGTCAGTGATTCGAGGGATGGAACGGGTGGATGAATGGATGGATGGATGAGCTACTTCTTCGTTGAGCTACTTCTTCACTGTGCGACCTCTTCGCTGGAGCACCTCTTCTCTCACTGCTTCTCTGAGCAGCCTCTTATTTCGGCCACTTCTTCTCTGACCTTGCTCTGCGCTGCCTCCCAACTAGCTCTTCTGTAGCTTCTGCAACCCAATTCTTCCCTTCGTGCGATTGCACAGTTGTACAGGGCATTTAGCAACTTCCAGCTGCAATCCCACATAGCACAAGAGCTGCACGATGGTCTAAAACTACCTTCCGCGCAGCTGTTACATTGCGTTTAGCAACCTCCAGCCACAATCCCGCATAGCAGGGGCGTTGCGGCATCACTCATGCTGTCCTGCGCGCGGCTGTGCCAATGCGTTTCGTCAAAACCGGCTGCAAATCCGCGTAGCAGGAGCGTCGCACCTAATCAAGCAACGTTCGAGCACTGTCAACAGCCCGGACCCGACCGCACAAATCCGGCGCTGCTTCAGTGACCCCGGGAACCACCATACCCATCAAAACACAGGGTTTCGCGCGCTTGAGCGTTTCCACCCATGAAGTCACAGGCCCCCAGACTCTTTCACTTCCCGGCTACTTGATGATGACGTTGACATGATGATGTGGCTGACATGATCGCGTGATTTTTTACCATGACCATCGTCCGTACTTCAGAAGTTTTCTCATTAAATTTCCTTTGAAACCCACGGTTCGTTCTTACGCTTACAGCAGGTCTTGAAGCAAGCCTCTCTGTTTAGCAGTTGGGCAGAACCACTTTGGCTGCTTCGACCCCCGTGCTTGTTGCTCAAACCCCATTGTTGCTGGCTGTGGCCACCTTGCTGATTAGTTGCTTGTTGCGCTTGGTTGCTTTGCGGCAAAAAAAAACGGTGCATGCGCCTAACTCACATTGATGGCGGTTTAAATCCTAATTATCTATTGTTGATGATCTTTGTCCAAAACGGAGCATACGTTTGCTGACGGGCATTTCGTCCAGGCCGTGGAGTTCGGCGCAGGCACCGGACACCTGGGGCTGCTGCTGGCGCATCTGCGGCCCGATGCCTCGGTGGTCTTGGTAGAGGCGGCCGGCGGGTTCAACACCCGGGCGGGAATGGTCTAGAGCACGTATTTCAAATCCATGAGTTCAAGTTATTTGATGTTCAAAGCAGAGCAGGTTCTGGCCCTTGAAGTCAGGGTGCGGAGGTGGCCGACCCAATTTCGAATTCACCCAATGTTTGCAGGTCAAACGATTTGCGCAGCATAGGCATGTCTGCTTCTTGAAGGTCTTCAACGAAGGAAGATCTGCCCGGCCATGTAATGACGCCACCGCTACCTGAGGTCAGCCATGAAAATGCGGTTCCAGTTCATGCCCCCGAAAGAAATCACCTGGTGAAGCAAACTGCCCTCATGGCGCCAGGGATTCCGATCAAGGTTGCCTGTTGTGTGCCGGTTGGGCACGGTCGAAAGATGGAACAAGTGCAACTTGTGAATGCCTGTGGCATGGCTCACACTAGTCGCCACCAAACCCCGGACTGCTTTTTAGTTTTGCTTCCTTCCTTCCTTGCTTTCCTTTGTGATACAGTGCCGGGCACTTATAGTTTTTGCAAGGGGCCGCATCCTCGCTGAACTAGAGCTGCTACTTAGGTGACGGAAGGAAAGATTATGCAGGCCCCACATTGTATTCGGAGCCAACAGTGCCCAAAGCGCAACGCGTTGGTATTCAGAATTTACCTGCCCTATACAAAGCAAACAGCAAGAATAGCATTAACAAAGAAGAGAAAGAAAGACTAGAGGAGTCCTTTGATTCCAAACCGCGCAGGACAAGGCAGTATTCACAGTAGGTATGATGGCACCCAGCAGTTGAACGGCAGCTTTACTTCAACAGCACCCGGAAACACGTAATTGGAAATAATTGGATACATGGGCCGTTCTCCCTGGGAATGATTCATCCAGCTGGTGGTTAGTTAGTTCCTCCAACCAACAATCCTTGGAAAGTAGCATGGGCGGATGCCTCAACAATTTGTCAGTCCCTGCATGTTTGTTGGTGGTTCCCCTTGCTCTCCATGAGGCACGCGCCGGCAGCAGCACCGTGGCACGCAGCCGCATCGAGCCCCTCGGCGACAAGGAAAATGGCATGGCCCCCTAACACTAGATCCCGCCCATATGGGCCCGTGGTATAGATCCAATATGAGATCAGGACGCTTTTTTAAGGCTATTGGGTCATTTCCATTTTTTAGGAAAATTTCTGTTTGAAGTTGGAAAACATCTGTTTGAACGGCGGTAAAATCTTGCAAAACCAAGAGGAGCAGTAGTAGTCGCCGTAGTCATCGTATAGCCGTATACATCGTATTCGTATATCAGTCATCATGGTCGCTGCAGTCGCCGTAGTAGTCGGACAGTCGTAGTAGTCCTTGTTGTTATAGTAGCCGCAGTGGAAGCAGTAGAAGTAGTCGTAGAAGAAGTAGAAGTACAGAAGTAGGAGTAGGAGTAGTAGTAGTAGTAGAAGAAGAAGAAGAAGGACTTGTAGTAGCAGTAGTAGCAACAGTAGCAGTAGTAACAGTAGTAGTATAGTAGTGGCAGCAAGCAGTAGCAGTAGCTGCGGCAGCAGTAGCAGGAGCAGCAGCAGTATCAGTAGCAGTAGCAGAGCAGCAGCAGCCGTAGTAGCAGTAGCAGTGGTAGTACGCCGGACGCCTTAGAAAGAGCTGGTCTGTGGTCTGTGTGTTAGAGGTGTTAGTCTGATTGTTGCACGGCCAAAGTCATAGTTTCTGGACATGCGAATCTCTGCCAAGATAGGCCATGGTGCTGGTCCACCGGTTTGCAGAAACGATTCCCGCAGCGCACCAAGGACGATGGGAATCCGAAACTGTGAGGTGTTTCACGGCACCCTGGATGACTTTGCCAACACGGCCCAGGACAAACCAATCGGGTATGCTGGCAGTGACAACGGGTAGCATTCTGACGATCGGGCTGTTGCACGTAAATGATTTTGATGCTGCTCTATCTCTTGCCATTGCCAATACCGTTGCTGCTGATGATGATGACAACAATGATGCTGTTGTTTGTGGTGATGATGTTGTTGATGATGATGGTGATGATGATGATGATGATGGTGAGGGTGATGATGATTATGATTATGATGATGATGATGATGATGGTGATGGTGGTGGTGGTGGTGATGGTGATGATGACGATGATGATGATGATGACGATGATGATGATGTTAATGCTGGTGTTGATGTTGATGTTGTTTTCGATGTTGGCATTGCTGCTTCTCCTTACGGCACATTGGCACCCAATTCTGGGCCCGGCGCGGTGTTTGTTTCTTAAGCTTCCAACTTGGGTTGGCCCGTTGCTTCCTTGTTAGTCTTGGGCGCATCTCAGCGAGCGGCTGCAGCCTCCTGCGTTCTGCATTCCCGTCGGTCAAAATCTGACCCCAACAATTTTTCAAAAAGAAAATCAATATTGTTGCTTCAAACTTTCCGTCCTATCATGTGACCAAGGTTCACTAGGCGCCCCACAAGAGATCACGGCTTTCTCGAAAAATGTTTTTTTGGTGCTTCTTTTGGGGCGCCAATGAATTTTCTCGCAATTTACCCTCCAAGCCAAACCAAATTGACCCCTAAGATTTTTGTTGCCCTCCGCACGCTCCAGGAGTTCGACCTGGCGCTGGGTCTTCATACTTGCGGCCTGTTGGCCGATGCCGTGTTGGCCTTGGCCGTGAGGCGGCGCAGCAGTGTCTGCCTGGTTCCTTGCTGCTACGGCCAGGTGCGGTCGGAGCTGGTGTGATTTTCTGGGTGAAATTCTGGGTGATCTTTTGGAGGGTTCCCTTGGTTTGTGGAGTTTCTTGTCCATCCATCCTGGCTGCAGGGCCGGCCGCCGTCACCAATACAATCTTGAAGAAAACAATCACATGTCCAAAGCCTGCCTGCCAGATATTCTACATGCCAATAGTTTCAGCAACCCGTCATAGATCACTCATGCTTCTTAATTACTCATTGCCATGGGCCGCGTCTTCATCGTTGATAGATTTGCTCTCCACCCAGCTTGTTGGTACCCCAAACGAGGCCAGCCTTCTCCAGTTAGTTCCTCAAATCCGAACCTACCGTCCCTACTTGGAGCGTTGTTTTTTCGATTTTCCCTGCTGGGTTGAATCTGCGGCCAAAAATCTTCATTTGAGGATTTTCCGTTTCAGAAGCAAGCAGACTTGGCAAAAACTAACCTGCGGTTTTTATGATGTCGAATCATAGCACTATTCTTCTTGAAGGCTGCAATCATGTCGCCATATCACGATTTCAGCAGCTCATTTACCGTTACTATTCCAGTATATTGTGAAGCCCCAGAAGCTATTGAATAATTTGTAACCTGCTTGCGCTCTGTTTAATCCATGGGTGCGAGAGCACCCGGGAATCCCCACCATCAGTCCTAACTTTAGTTAAGCCATCCTTGTGGCTGCGCGGGTCAACATCTCACGCTTTTCCGCGCCAGGTTGCCAGTCTGAAGGTGGATCACCAGCGGGGTGAAGGCACTGCGCAGCGGATGCACCCCTGCAGCCAGGCAGGGCCGTGATAGGCACCCGTTGGATTTGTAAGGGCGATAAGCGGTCACCACTAGATGCTGGTGTGTGGTAGGTTGTTATTAGTGGGTCAAAAGTCCGTTCTAACCACCCAAACCCCTGACAATGATGCGTTGCTTCACAAGCAAAGCACCGCCCTGCAGCCACTCATTGCCAAATGTTCGCAGCACACGCAGCACCCATGGATTTCAAAGGGTGCCTTGTGTATTTGCCGCAGGCTTCATCAACATGTGCCATCATCCATACGCAACTTAAATCACAGACACCGGATGATCTGATGGATGAAGACGGCCCATCAATCACCAACCATCACCAACCAATCAATCGGGCGCCGGTCAAAGCTGAGCACCGGAAAATTGCAGATGGCGGCAGACATGCCATTGCCATTCGTGACAACAAGGGGAATATACATCTAACCTTTTTGGGTATTGTTGCTGTCGGTGTACTCGATGCTGTTGGTCTTCCTAGGAAATGGGCGGTCATCTTTCCGTCACTTTCCAACCTGCATCATTAATTACACCATGTCAGAGCGGCAGTTTAAAGATCAGTTTTTTTTGCGCGCGCACAGGCCTCAACTCACTCGTTCTATACCCCATCTTTGCCAGCGCTGCGCATACCCCCAATCCCCTGGCCCCCTTCCGCGAGCGCAGGCCATGCAAGGCGCCACCTCCTCCGAAACTTTTGCGTGGTGTGCCAAAGCCGCCGACTTCACGCCAGGAAAGGTGCCCCCTGGCAGGGATGCAAGGGAAGTGAGGATTGAGGGCTGTGTTGAGAATCAATTCAGCAATTAAAGGACCGGATAACCCACATGTCAACTTCTTCCAACAAGCAGCAAAAGAAAGTAAAGATAGCATGGGGAAAGCAGGAAAGAGAAAAGAGATGGTGAAGGATTGGCGTATGCAACCAGCTAAATTAATTTGCATCCAAATAGAAGGCCAGCTAGACAAACAATACTGAACACACTAATCCAATAACATCAAGTCGCCTCAGACAGCGCCAGCTCTTTCGCAATAACATCCACGTATAGACCGGTATGAGTAAGTTGTGTATGCATGTGCGTATGCATGTATGCATGCATGCATGCATGCATGCATGGTATGTATGTATCCATGTATTGAACAGCAGCATCTGCGCGACGAAGTCAGTGCCTGGCAGAACAATGGAAAACACCGGCTGTCACGAAGACTGTTAGTTTCAGAAGCACAGATTGATAACAGACATATGAGCACCGTCAACTGCAACAGCACTAGCAAAGATCACGACATCGCAGCGTGGTGGACCTGCCAAGCGACGGCGGCAAGTGCAGTAATGTAGCTCCCACTGAAAGCAAGCAACACAAGAATAGCGGCAACCGATTGCACAGAAACTGTTCTGATCTGTCATGAACGTGATTTTTTTCTGTCGCTCACATGGCCGCGTTCAGGCGCTAGATCTTCGCACGGCGCGTCAATCCATGCAAGCTAAAGCTAGCTCCTTTGGCTATAAACGGTATATACTGCACATGGAATCCGGATCAAGTTCAAGACAAGGTAACAGCCACATCGAACAGCACGGACACCTACGGACAACCGCGGACGGTCACAAAGTCCAGAAAGTCTCCTCCAGTTGCACTTCTGCGATACACAGCCAAGCGGCATATGGCAACGACACCTCCGCTGCAGACTCTCACGCGGCACGCAGCATGCCGAGGTCGCCCACAGCAGTTTCAAACTGACTCTTATGGTACCTGCCGACGAAGGCATGAAAGTCACGCCAGGAGGTTCCTTGTGGCACGACCGCTTCCAGCTGCAACACTGCTGCATTATTCTCCAGAACCTTAAGAAGGGACCAGTCGTCCATGGAGGCCACGCAGAGAAGACGTCTGACCCGGGCCAAGATGCTGCAGTCTTCGCCTTCCAAGTCATAGACTCTGCCCTCTGTCTGCTCCAAGCACTCAAGACATGACATCCATGCTTCCTTCCAATTTCCAGCAGAAATCTGACTGTCAATCGTCCTTGGGCTCCCAAACGTTTCTTCCATACATTGGCGAAAGAGGCGCAAGGCGGTCAGAGAAATCGTATAGTGAGTTTCTATTCTAATACCGGCAAAAGAGATCAAAAGAGCAAGACATTTTACACAGCAAGAATGACCAAAACTGAGCCGAGAGCTCCTGGAGCAGAGATCGATTTTTTTTTCAGTTCTTCTAGTGTTACAAATCAGCAAGCAAACTTGGAATTTCTATGTGTATATATATATATCTCTCTCTCTCTCTCTCAACATGCGTATTACATAGTCATTATGATTGGTTGATGTCTACTGCTGAGACCACTGCTTCGAACAGTATGTTCAGAAACGGCAGCATCTGCGCGATGAAGTCGGTACCCGGCAGAACAACACAAAATAACAAGCTGTTATATCTATACAGAAAAGGCGACGTCATCATGAAGTCTGTCAGTTGCAGAAGCAACAGTACTGTCAAAGCTACGTTGACATCGCTTGCTTGGGTGCGATGCAATCATATCCGATGTCCTCTCATGTCACTTCTCCGCGCAGCATGTTAAAGCTTTCAGATGTGATGTGATGTTTGCTGGCTCCAAGCGGTCGTGTCATGTTGTATGTTGTCTGTGCCTCCATGCTTTCGAAGTGTGCTGTTATGTGTCGTGGCCGTTGTGTCATTGCTGTCTGACTGCGTGCTGTCTGTCACTTCTCCACACGGCGTGTTAAAGCTTTCTAAGTGTGATGTTGTGTGTGGTGGCCGTGGTGTCACTGCTGTCTGACTGCGTGGTGTGAAATGTCTACAGCTGCAACATGTACCACCATCTCGTCGAAACGCGCCACCAGAGCCAACCCAGTGCCATAAGTGCCACGCCTGCCACGCAAAGTGACGATCCATGTCATCAAGTGCGACGCCTACCACACAAAGTGAAGGTGGATGTCACAAAGTGCCACGCCTGCCACGCACAACGCCGCGGCGTCCCAGCGCGGCCGTCCCAGCGCGGCCTGGGAACCAAGCGCGCCACCAGAGCCAACCCACTGCCATAAGTGCCACGCCTGCCACGCAAAGTGACGATCCATGTGTTGACAAGTGCCACGCCTGCCACGCAAAGTGACGATCCATGTCATCAAGTGCGACGCCTGCCACACAAAGTGAAGGTGGATGTCACAAAGTGCCACGCCTGCCACGCAAAACGCCGCGGTGTCCCAGCGCGGCCTGGGAACCAAGCGCGCCACCAGAGCCAACCCAGTGCCATAAGTGCCACGCCTGCCACGCAAAGTGACGATCCATGTGTTGACAAGTGCCACGCCTGCAAGTGCCACGCCGGCCACGCAAAGTGACGATCCATGTCATCAAGCGCGACGCCTGCCACACAAAGTGAAGGTGGATGTCACAAAGTGCCACGCCTGCCACGCAAAACGCCGCGGCGTCCCAGCGCGGCCTGGGAACCAAGCGCGCCCCCAGAGCCAACCCAGTGCCATAAGTGCCACGCCTGCCACGCAAAGTGACGATCCATGTGTTGACGAGTGCCACGCCTGCAAGTGCCACGCCTGCCACGCAAAGTGACGATCCATGTCATCAAGTGCGACGCCTGCCACACAAAGTGAAGGTGGATGTCACAAAGTGCCACGCCTGCCACGCAAAACGCCGCGGCGTCCCAGCGCGGCCTGGGAACCAAGCGCGCCACCAGAGCCAACCCAGTGCCATAAGTGCCACGCCTGCCACGCAAAGTGACGATCCATGTGTTGACAAGTGCCACGCCTGCAAGTGCCACGCCTGCCACGCAAAGTGACGATCCATGTCATCAAGCGCGACGCCTGCCACACAAAGTGAAGGTGGATGTCACAAAGTGCCACGCCTGCCACGCAAAACGCCGCGGCGTCCCAGCGCGGCCTGGGAACCAAGCGCGCCACCAGAGCCAACCCAGTGCCATAAGTGCCACGCCTGCCACGCAAAGTGACGATCCATGTGTTGACAAGTGCCACGCCTGCCACGCAAAGTGACGATCCATGTCATCAAGCGCCACGCCTGCCACACAAAGTGAAGGTGGATGTCACAAAGTGCCACGCCTGCCACGCAAAACGCCGCGGCGTCCCAGCGCGGCCTGGGAACCAAGCGCGCCACCAGAGCCAACCCAGTGCCATAAGTGCCACGCCTGCCACGCAAGGTGACGATCCATGTCGCCAAGTGCGACGCCTGCCACACAAAGTGAAGGTGGATGTCACAAAGTGCCACGCCTGCCATGTCATCAAGCGCCACGCCTGCCACACAAAGTGAAGGTGGATGTCACAAAGTGCCACGCCTGCCACGCAAAACGCCGCGGCTGCCCAGCGCGGCCTGGGAACCAAGCGCGCCACCAGAGCCAACCCAGTGCCATAAGCGCCACGCCTGCCACGCAAAGTGACGATCCATGTCTTGACAAGTGCCACGCCTGCAAGTGCCACGCCTGCCACGCAAAGTGACGATCCATGTCATCAAGCGCGACGCCTGCCACACAAAGTGAAGGTGGATGTCACAAAGGGCCACGCCTGCCACGCAAAACGCCGCGGCGTCCCAGCGCGGCCTGGGAACCAAGCGCGCCACCAGAGCCAACCCAGCGCCATAAGTGCCACGCCTGCCACGCAAAGTGACGATCCATGTCCTCAAGTGCGACTAGTGTGAAGACAAGTGGTGTGATGACAAGTTGTGTGATGACAAGTTGTGTGTGGACAAGTTGTGTCAAGACAAGTTGTGTGTGGAGAAGTTGTGTGATGACAAGTTGTGTGTGGACAAGTGGTGTGTGGACAAGTAGTGTGAAGACAAGTTGTGTGTGGACAAGTGGTGTGATGACAAGTTGTGACAAGTGGTGTGTAGACAAGCGGTGTGTAGACAAGTGGTGTGTGGACAAGTAGTGTGAGGACAAGTTGTGTGTGGACAAGTAGTGTGAAGACAAGTGGTGTGATGACAAGTTGTGTGATGACAAGTTGTGTGTGGACAAGTTGTGTCAAGACAAGTTGTGTGTGGAGAAGTAGTGTGAAGACAAGTTGTGTGTGACGGGAGGAGGCGTGTGATGACAAGTGGTGTGTGGACAAGTAGTGTGAAGACAAGTTGTGTGTGGACAAGTCGTGTGAAGACAAGTGGTGTGATGACAAGTTGTGACAAGTGGTGTGTAGACAAGCGGTGTGTAGTCAAGTGGTGTGTGGACAAGTAGTGTGAAGACAAGTGGTGTGATGACAAGTTGTGTGATGACAAGTTGTGTGTGGACAAGTTGTGTCAAGACAAGTTGTGTGTGGAGAAGTAGTGTGAAGACAAGTTGTGTGTGACGGGAGGAGGCGACGGGAGCGGGAGGCGGTGGAGGCGGTGGAGGCGGCGGACGGGATGCAGAACCAAAAACAGGAACCCCACACAAAGATGTGGGGAAAAACCATTGGTGTTTCTAACAGGTGGTGGGAACGGCGCTATTTTATGCAGCGCGGCCGGTGTAGAATGTGGTGTAGGATACGCTGTAGGCCACCACAATTGCCAAAAAAAAATGGCTTACAACCATGGCACCGGCCAGCAATCCAAAATACATAGTGGGTTTACCCCAAAAAGGCCGGAACTTAATGAGCATCATGCTGACACGACCAGACCTAAGCCAGGGCATGAACAGCCATGATGGCCAGTGCAGCAATTGATCCCTAAGGCCGAAATCAAATCCAGTTTTGAGCTGGCTTTTCCACCATCCCTCAAGATCCCACTTGGGCTTAGTTTTGGGTTGTCCACTTCAAACCAGCCCTTGCGGCCGATCATCCAGGGGGGCGCCTTTGACGTTGAGAGCACTGGCTTCCAAACAGATCGAAGCTCAGGATGCGGCGTTTGAGAGGGGGCGTTGGCCCACAAAAGCTGGTGGCTTCAGCGACAAAAATGATGAATTTACCCTTTACAACACCCAACACAAGCGATTTTAACCAGCCAACACCAGGATGCAAACCAACAAAACAGAAGTAACCACTGGAAGCTGGGCAAAACCCGGGGCCGGCTAACACTACAGGCATAGCAGTATCTTACCACGGGTCGGCGCGTTGAATTCCGTTGGTTGGTTCCCGCATCCCCATCATCATATAATATCAAATATTCTAGCAAATGTGCTGCGACGCCAAGTGCTTCAGTTAACCCATGCACTGATTTTTCTAATTTCACCCCTCCGAGAACAACAGGACAGGAAACAGACAGGCGTCCATGCTTCGTGGAGAAAGGGCAAGAAGCACACAGACGTCCATGAACAGTGACCAAGAAACAAACTTTCATAAAGCGTTGCCCAATGCTAGTTCTTAACGTGGTTTCCAACTTGGCTATCTGGGGTTCATGGCGCATGCATCTAGAGTCGGACGGCTGGAAAAAAATAGACGACGGATGGCCCGAGAGCGTAGAGGAGCATAGTGAGGGGCATAAGTATGAAGATCTAATAGCATGAAATTTAAATACCGAAATATACGATGATGCGTAAAATGAGGAGGCATGGTGCAGACATGTTGTGAAAAGTAGGTACACGTGAAGAAATTGAAGGAGAAAGAAAAGAAAGATGAAACAAAGGAGACACAGGAAGATAAATTGAGACAGGCATTTTTACATACAAGCATGCTCATACATACAAGCATGCCTCACACACAGCTGTGATTTATACAGATTCTTTACCGTGCCAACACTTTTACACGCAATCGCTTTTACGCACAAAAACTGTTACACGCAAACATGTTTACACAGACGCCTTTACACAAACGCTTTTGCACAAACGGTTTTACACAGAGACTCTTTTACACACAAACACTTTTTTACACAAACACTTTTTTACACAAACACGTTTACACGCAAGCCCTTTTACACACAAACGCTTTTACACACAAACACTTTTACACAACCCTTTTGCACAGAAACACTTTTACACACAGACGCTTTTAAACACTGACCCTTTCCCGCGCAAACTCATTTACACACAATCGCTTTTACACACAAGAATGTTTACATATAAAAGCTTGTCGAAGGAAGTTTAGAAGTCAAGCTTCCGACAATATGGACAGATGAAAAGCAGAGATTGGAAGAGTCAGAGAGAAGAGAAGAGTAGAAGAGAGAAGAGCAGAAGAGAGAAGATCAGAGAAGAGAAAGAGTCAGAAGAAAGAAGATGCAGGTGCGCGAAAAGGTAGGAGAGTCGCGAAACACTGTGTTTTTCCAATGATTTGTGGCTCCAGACGGTTGAAAAGTAGGCTCGCTAAAGTGGCGGGTGCGGAGCCATCTGGCCAGATGAGAGATGAAAAATTGCACGCGGTTGTGGCGCGAAGCACATTTCCAAGTCAAAATGCACAAAGCACCGCATGCTCAGACCACTTTTGGAAGTTGCGATGTCGAAAAAGTGCACGCCCTTGTGGCGCGAAGCACATTTCACAGTCGAAATGTACAAAACACACCAGTTTCGGACCACTTTTGGAAGTTGAGATATCGAAAAAGTGCACGCCCTTGTGGCGCGAAGCACATTT